CATCATACAACAACTCGTCAAAGAGACAAGTGAAGCCGATCCTTTGACCAAATGTGTGCTAAACAGTTGTAGTATCTCCCCTTATACCATGGGCTATTCACATTTCATATATCCTCCTATCACACCTTCACTGTTACAAATTTTTTGCCTAGCTTATTTAATTCTAGTGTGGCTTTCATGAGAACCCACCGCACTCCACTCTCGCGTTCTAACCCCTATTCACCTTTGTGCTGGGAATGTTGATAAAAGACTGCCATATTGTTACATAGTCCTCTTTTCCTATGTCTTATCAGTCTCTCTCTTGCCCTATAGAATCCGACTGATATTGCCCTGGTTCAAGCATTTCACTCGACCTCTGACACTCCATCCGTAATACTTTAGGCGTTATTTCCCATGCTCTGTGTCTGAGTGACGAATTCTAGGCTAAAGCCTCTAGGTAAGTCTCATGGTCACGTCCTTGCTACATGGTAAAACCTACTTCCCCTGCCCTAATCTCGTGTGTGCCAACCATAAATGTTGTGGTACTGCTTGCTTTGATTAGGTTCAATGTTGAACCACAACGTATGTGGGTTGACACAACCTCTATACCATGAAAGGAGACTGCGACCACACCAAAGGCCACCCCATCTTGGTCTTCATATCTTCGATACCCTAATAACAAGCCAATTTCCGCATTTTTGACAGCTAGCCATACACAAAATAAACGAAAAAGTGAAGAGCTATGTTAGTCCACGGTTTCTTCATTAATTTTAACTGAGCCAAAATTGCAACTAAACTATGTTTATCTTCATGCCCATCGAACAAGTATGAGATTGATTTGAAAAAAACGGCAATTCAGCATAAAATGTAAATGATGTGGTCGATACTATGACCTGTCTTTAAGATACACTAATTAATTTAAATAATTATATAATATTGTGCAGTTAGCCAAAAAAATTGGACAAAGGACGATGGTGACGTACTAAATCAAGGTGGTGAAAATATCAAGAATGCAGTTTCGCACTTCTGGATCTGGAGATCTACAGAGAAAAGCAAGCAAGAGTTGGCGCATTAGGGCACAGCATGCAGGATTGCTATCGGTATCGCCACCAGTGGTGGTACCAAGGTGTTTGCGTCGGCAGACCGGAACACCTGTTGCTTGTAACAGGTTGACTAATACGGTGGAAAGTTTGGCGGCAGCCGTGGGATTCGAGGTTGGTCTCTGATCCAAAAGTATTGAGGGAAACTGGGAATGAGGGCAAACATCGAGCGAAATAAAAGATATACAATGAAGCACATATATAAGTCCAAATGAAAATTGGTAAAGGATTAAATTTAGATATTAATCAGTAATAATTTGTGCTAAAGCCATGAGATGATAAGTAAAAAATAAAAGTGCCTAAAGTAAAAAAAATGCTAAGAAGAAATCTGCTAAGGATGCAAATTAATGATCCAAATGTATCGGTTCCAATTCAAGTCCATAGATAGCTGACCCCAGTGCCTCAGTAATAGTGTCGCAATCCAAGTAAAGCCACCCTAATTTATTATGAATCGATAATCACCAAGCGATTAAAGCAATTTATGAGCTAAAGTGGAGTCTCATCGTTAATGGTGGGCTGTTTGGGCATCCGTTATATATTAACCAACCCATTTGTTTTTATATTCCTAAAATAAGCAGAATACAAAAAAATATTAGAGAAAAAATGTCAACTGTGGCCCTATAACATATCCGTAGAGAGAAAAAGTGGAATCAAAACTATAGGAAAACAGATATACATATATGCAACGATATTTGTAGAAGGATAAATAAAAGCAGAAATATAGATGACAATA